ATGATATTGAAAGAATTTTTAGTTAATTTAGATTTGAAATTCCTAGCCAAAATTGATTATTGATAGAACATTCTAGATGAAGATATTGAAGATTAGGTAAACAAATACCAAGTGAGGAACTAGCTGGTCAAAAAGATGATCACGATAGATGCAGGTTACAGGATAATCGAAAAGTCTTGATCGTTCCTTTAAAAACTGCTTGTTCACCCTTACTTAATAAAAATCCAAAAGCGCTCAAAATTGGACCTTTAATCCTTTGTATGCGGATGCATATTGTGGTGAGTGTGGGTGTGGGATGTAGGGTGTGGCTGTGGGTGTGGTTTATGTCTTCCGTTTCTTTACATTAACACCCCCACCAGGATGGTTCCTGGTCGCGCGCCCGAATATCTAATAGAATTTATTGATTAATCGCGAATATCGTTTTCTTTTTCTTCGATGCAATTCATTTTCAATCACACAACAAACAAATAAACATCATTAATTTGCTGTCTGTTCGATATTAAATTTTTGTACTCGATCATTTTCGTAATCGACAACATAAAGATTACCATGTCGATCGAATGATAAACCAACGGGGGATGTTAATTGATTTGACTGTCGTCCTGCACCATTTCCACCAGCAATCACACTTCCTTGTGTGGCTCCTTTGGGCCAACGTATTATTCGATGATTCGAAGTATCAGCCACATAGAGAGTGCCCAATTGATCGATACAAATTTTACCTTCAAATGATTCAACTTCATTATCAAAATTACCCAGCATAAAATAATGAACTGAATATACAACATTGCGAAAAAATTGTCTTCCATCGAAATCGAAAGTACCATAGGCTATCATGGCTCTTGATGCAATTCCATACCCAAAAATGACAATAATCATAAGAAATATGAAAAACAATAAATCGTTCGTCTAAAAGATAAAACATCACTAATGCCTCTATAGTTGATATTATTTATTTACCATCTTTCGGATCATCACTAATTTCGGACCGAGATTCGGAGCTATGCCAATAAAAAGAAGTGATCGAATGAACCATAGTTCTAGATTATAAGCCATTATAATCCTTTTTAATACGATCAGTCTAATTGAATATCATGAATACTAAATGAAATTTACCTTGTAGCTGAAAAGTTTGTCGGATCTTTTAACACGAAACGTAGTAGCAGTCCAATATAGAATAAGATATAAGCCGATAAAATCAGACACAAATTAGAAAATCGATTATGCAAATCAAAATAGGTTAGTAATTTTCCTTTCAAAGATCGATTGTCTTGGAAGAAGAATTAGAAAATGAAGTTGTCTTATTTTTTTTACAATTGTGTTTGAATATGACGTTACTAGTCTGTCGAATATGCTCGATGAGCATAGAACTAACTATAGTAATTGTCAAAATTTCAGTCCAATGAATATTCCAGGATACAGCTGAAAGAGGATCGAATGCATACAGCAAATAAAAGCTGAAGAAAAGCAAGAATAGTATATAGCCGAACTACAATACTCGAAGAAATCACATGAAAATAAAAAAAACAAAGAATCAGATAGAAATTATTTTACGCAAGTGTAATAATATTTCACAATCGGTCGATTATGAAAGTGAAAAAAGTGTTGACGTAGGGATTCATAAGATTGATAGTCATTCGTATAATTGATTCCATGACTTTTTAAACTAAAAAATGAATCGTAAAATCATATTAAACCAATGAAGAATTATATATATATATATATTACGGTCGTTTTGGAGATGGTCGTGTAGTTTTCTACAGATGTGTACAATATTAATTCATAATGACGATGAAAATTTTTAAACTTACATTAGATTCTTGTTCGGTTATTTGAATTTGATTAGAACTTTTATCGTAGATAGAGAAGACAATTTGTGAAATACCCATTGTAAATATATTAATTATTAGGCGATATCGTTCTCCCAAAGGATCCAATTTATCGTACCATATATATGTCAATAGAGCATCGCATGCATCTTCATATAGAAACTTCTTACTATCAGCCGCAATCGCCATTTGCAAACATGTAACATTTACATAAACGTCAAGACGTCGAATAATTAATTCACAGGTTTGTTCGGCATCATAGAAATAGGCACAAGGTACACATTCAATAGGACACATTTCAAATTCATCAGCTTCATTATTTAATGTGTGTTTTGATTGATGATCGAGGGCGTATTGTGCTAATGATTTTAAAATTTTTGAAGCTATTAATGCTGAACATATACGAGTTTTTATTTG